GAGAAACTAGAGTCATTCACCAGAAAATGGATGCATATTGAGGCCGTACTCCTAAATGAAACAAATAAGACACATGTGTACATCCTGAATAGTTTCTCTGGTGTGAAAAACTAAAAGTGTAAATAAGATCCAAATGGTATATTTGACAATGTGAACTAGGAAGAAAAGGACTAAAGGTGTAGGTGAAGTGGGAAGGGTAGGGGAAAGGAGATAAGGGAAAAGAAAAGAATATGAGAAAATGAAAAAAATAGAAATAATGTCCTTGTAAATAAGGAATGGTGCAGGGGGTTAAGGGAGTAATAGGGGCATGAGGAAAAATAAGAACCAAGATATATCATGTAAAGGTATATGATCGAATGATAAATGTAACTAAAGTATACTTAAAAAGTAACAATAAACTTAATGAGAGAAAAAATAGATGTGATTTTTCTATGAAATGGAGTACTAATGAATCATAAGGAATGAGAAACTAGAGACATTTATAGCTAAGTGGATGCATATTGAGGCCATACTCCAGTGAAATTAATAGGACACACATGTGCAAATAGCAAATAGTTTCTCTGGTGTGATAAACTAAAAGTGTACGTAAGGGTCAAAATGTATAATTGATATTTTGTAACAGGAAGAAAAGTTCTAAGGTTATTGGGCTAATGGGAGGGGTAGGGGATGGTAAAAAGCGAAGAGTAAAAGTAGCAGAAAAGGAGAAAATGGAAATAAAGTCTTTATAAATAGGGAAGCATGGAGGGGGGAAGGGAAACTAGGGGAATGGGGAAACATAAGAACCAAGATATGTCATGTAAATATACAAGATCCCAATGATGTATGTAAATTTATTGTATATCTAACATGTAGCAATGAAAATATTTAAAAAAAGAAAACTACAGGCCAATCTCCCTAGTGAATCCAGATGCAAAAATCCTCAGTAAGATATTGACAAACAGAATGTAATGAATCATTAAGAAGATCATATACCATGACTCATAGGATTCATCCCAGGGGTGCAGAGACTGTTCAACACATGAAAAATCAATAAATGTAAAACACCCTATCAACAGAGCTAAAGAAAACAGTTATATGATCATCTCAATAGACACACACAGAAAAGCATTTGAAAAAGTCCAACACCCATGATAAAAAAAAACCTACAAAAAATTGGAATAGATGGCCTTTGCCTGAATCTGAAAAAATCCATCATTGACAACAAACCAAGAGCCAACATAATACTAAATGATTAAAAATTGAAAGCTTTCAACCTAAAATTAGGAACAAGATAAGGATATCCACTATCACCACTTCTATTCAACCTAGTTCTGGAAAATTAGCCAGATAAATTAGAAAAGAAAAAGAAATAAAGATAGGAAAGAAAGAAGTTAAATTATCATTATTTGCAGATGACATTATTCCCTACATAGAAGACCCCCAGAACTCTACCAAAAACCTGTCATTTCTGACAAACTGACAAAGAATTTGGGGAAAAACCATTGGAATCCAAAGCTATTGTCCTGTTTGCAGCCAGACCACCTTGATAATGGATCCGAGAGCCTTCAGTCAAATACCACTCAAATTTTGCTTATATTATTTGTGCATCACCAATGGGTCAATTTCCTGTCATTATCCAGGGTATTTCAGAGGCAGATCTATTAGTGTGTTTGGGATAAAAAGGTGTGGATAGATTCCACGTGAAATTCAGTCTGGGTCAATTTTCCTTCCTCCCTTGTAAATTAGGCCTGAATTATACCAGGCTTGTACAGAATAAATAACACATACATTCTTTATGGCTGAATAATATTCCATTTTATAGAAAAACCACATCTTTATTCAGTTTCCAACTGATGGGCAAATGGGCTGTTTCCAAGTTTTAGCTATTACAAACTGTGCTGCCATTAACATGGGTGCACATACATCGCTGTGATATGATTCTTTTACCAATAAACTCAATTAAAGCTGAAAGAAAAGAAAAGCAAATTTGACAGAAAAAATAACACAAAGTGATTTACATTTAGTACATGATATCTGTTATTACAATAATTACAAATATATCATCATATATCCTTATATAAGTATATAAGGAATTATATACTTATCTGATCATGAAGTCCTATACTCTTAGTTTCCATGTATGCTAGATGAGTCTGCCATTCTGCCCCTTGTATCTGCTAAATATTATTCACAATATATTAGACAATTAGAAAAGGGAAGCTCAATCAAGAAGAGGATGCTATAAATATGCCTTTAAATCTCAATGATAGCTAGGTGTATTATCTCACACTTGTAACCTCCGCACTCAGCAGGCTGAGGTAGTAGGGTTATAAGTTCAAGGCTCGCCTGCACTACATAATAAGACCTTATTTCAAAAACAAAACAAAACACACAGTTTGTAATAGCTAAAACTTCGAAACAGCCCATCTGCGCATCAATTGGAAACTGGATAAAGATGTGGTTTTCCTACAAAATGGAATACTACTCAGCATAAAGAATGAGAAAGTAGATTCATTCACAGTTAAATGGGTACATTTGGAGGATATACTTCTTAGTGAAATAAATAAGGCACACATATGCAAATACCGAATAGTATCTCTGGTGTGAAAAACTGAAATAGTACTCAAGATCCTAATGGGACACTTAGCAAATAGGAAAAAAAGGACCAAAGGTGTAGGGACAGTGAGAAGGATACAGAAGGGGGAACAAGGGAAAAGGAAAAAAATATGAGAAAATGTAAAAATGGAATTAAAGTGTTTGAAGGGGGGAGGGGAGGGTGAAGAGAGGGTGGGGACAAGGGGAAAAAATGAGAACCAAGACCTGGCATGTAAAGGTACAAGATCCCAGTAATGAATGTAACTGTACTGTCTACCTGGAATGTACCCATAAATTAAATAAAAAAACAAAACAAAACAAATATCAATGAAATGAACATGTATTTAAATGCAGTGACTAGAGAGAAACCTTCAATGACTAGTTCTGTGAATATTTTACTCAAATTTTGAATTACAGAATAGATTTTTTTTTCTCTTAAAAGTTGTCATAAAGGAAGAAAATGTAAGAACAGCCTGTTAGTTGAATTTCAAATTTTCAAGTTTTGGCTCCTCTGACAAATTCAAATTCTAGGTCTCCTCAGTAGTTTGTGATATAGGGCTAATTACTTTCTTCCTCTATAAAGTATAATTAATTAGCTAATGTACAGGTGGCACATAATAGGCACTTTGAATTTATCAAGTAGGCAATATTCAATTGATAAATTAGTAATTAGTGAGCAATTAGTAAGTAGAATTTTAGAACACATTATGTACGGTCACTCAGAAGTTGCTACACTAAAAACACATACTATAGAAAAGCAGATCACATGGTAGCACAAAGAAGGTGAAATTGACTGATACAGCTTCTACACTGGGATTTTTGTTGGTAGAGAAATAGGAAGAGTGAAATTGCTGCACAGTATATTTTAGAATAAGTGTTGGTGAGACATAGGATGTCCTAACAGTTTTAGGCACTTGCTTTTCTTCAACTCTTACACTGCCTGAGTGTGACCTGCCATCTCCTGTAGTCCTACAAATTCAGGAAACCATGGCCAGTCAGTGTTTCCCACTGCCTCCTTTATTAACCTGTGTTAATGCTGTTCAGGGCACTGGTCACTAATCTTACTCCTATGATTTATTTCCCCTAAGCTGTAAACATTTCCATAAGTACAGTCTTCATTAGAAAAGAGTGCTTTTGCTGCCTATCATTATTACTCTTAGGATTTTAAAATAATAGTTTTGGGAAAGTGAAATGTGAGCAGTTGAAGGTCTTATTTTTTACAAACCATGATTTCCATAAACTTGGGATATAAATTTTCAATAACAATGAGTTTTAATAAGAAAGCAAAACATAACTGCTAGATACTACACTCATTTGTTCAGTAAATATTTATGCTATACTGGTTCTGTGTGAAGCACTGAAGATCTTTTCTGAGAGTTTCTGTGACCATTTGTCCATTGCTATGCACACTAATAGAAATGTGTATTGCCTGAGTGTGGATGCTCAGGGATGTTCACTTACTTAGTGGTCACTGTTGTGTCCAGTTCTCATCTCTGAAATTCCTTCGATGGTGTTTTTGCCACCTCAAAAGGCAGCAGTTAACAAGCAAGACTGGGCTATAAGGAGCTGAAGACCCAGGGATTAGAATTGCTATTCTAGCCTCTGACCCAGAGAAGCACCTTTACATTTCATCTTTTGGGTGTTACTTACATCTGTCCTACTGAATTCACAAAGCAATTTAAAGCTGAAATGATATAAAATGGGTTAAAATGTTTGGAACATTAGTATAAATATAAACAATGGTGAAATATTGTAATGGTTGTTCAAAATCACCAATTTTATTATGCATGAAGCTATGCCCCAAAATCTTATTTTTTCCTCTCTGAATATAAGAAAACTCATTTTGGAAAAAAAAAAAAATCCAAACAATTCATGCTTTCCTTTTTCTTCAGTATGTAACAGGAAAACTTTTAGATATGTTTTGCCCAATTTTGATCTCCCGTGTTCTCATTCTCCTTCAAGGAATTCTGGGAGTGACTGCAATGGAGACAGGCATTTCTACAGCTATTGACTTCCTGTTCTGCATTAGTGCGCAAGAGCTGGCCATGAAGTAGTAGGAAAAATAGCTAAAGGAAAGGGAATGCAAAAGGTAAATTTGACAAAAGGAATGCTTGCTTTACTACAAATGACAATTTCCCTGTCTCGGAATCAATCAGGATACCCGATAATGTAACTTTTCATTAACTTCTAAAGTCCCAACTATTAACTATTCAACTTGACAACATGAATAATAGGGATAAGAGTTTTTTATGCAAAACAAAATGACTTTAAACACAGAGGTTAATTAATCCAGGGTGCTATACAAGTTCCAGAAATGTAACAAGCTGATTGAATCCACTAAGGATACCACACCAACAGTCTGGCATGAAGCATCTAGCCACGGAGAATACAGAAAATGAGACATTTACAAATGAGAATTAACTTACCGATACATCATTGACAAGAGGAATATGATCTTGGAGGTCTGCATGCACTGAACTCGACCTTCTAATAGTCCTTATGACATCTCTAGATATATTAGAGATCCACCACTGTAAGAAATAAGGAAACAAATTACAAGTAGTTGAAATGGAACTAGTTCAACAAGTCTGAACAGAGACGTCCCAGCCTATAGAGCAGCTAGAAGGAAACATAGTCTCAACAAGAAATAGGATTTAGCCTTTTTCTTTTTTGCAATGACTATTTTTTTAAGAAGAAGGAACTAGCTGCATGGATTTGAATGACAAACATTTTAGGAACACACTGTAATTAAGGGTTTAAAGAAGATTATGACTAGGCATAAAAATATCATAATGAAAACCACATAAAAGCTCTTAATAAAAATAATCAAACATTCTAAAAACCCACATTCATACAATAACTCAGGAAATAATCCTTAAATTATTGCGAAACAACAGGAACCTCTGTGCCTCACAGGAGCATGGTGAATTTATTAATACTTAATGATTTAAAAAAATACCTTCCAAGAGTATTGATAAATGAGTATCTAGCCAGATTTTCTTGTAACGAATTACTAATAAACATGTAGAGAGAAGTATTTATTAAAATAAAGGAAACTCAAAAGAGAAGAAACACTTCTAATTAGACAGAGCTTAAAGGTATATGTGCTCTTCACGAATTTTACAATCTCAGGAATGAGATTAAAGCCCCGTTAGATGATGCTCCGATCTTCGTTTCTTTCATTCTTCAGAGGTGACCATGTTATTAGGGACCTCTCCTCCTGTAGAACATGCTGGGCTCTTACACTCATGCACAGACATGTACCTAGAAAAGTGACCTTAAATTAAAAGCATCTCATAAAAAGTACCATAGACATTCTGTACAATGAGTTTTTTTCTTCATTTAACATTATGAAGATCTTGCTATTTTGGAACATCTACCTATTCTGTTTAACAACTAACTGAACTAAAAAAATTGATGTTTCTCCTTGATCATACTCTTATAACCTAAGAGTACCATTTAAAGGGGAAAAAGTATTTTTGGTGAAGGTTATCAGCAGCAGGGAAAGTACATTTGAAATAATCCCAGTGTGTCATAGAACATTAAATATAGAGACTCTCAAGGGTCACAGTGCCAGGATTCAAATCTTGACAGATTACCTGATTGAAATAGAGGAATAATAATTGTAATCTGTAACATAGTGGTGAAATGAAAATGAGTTAAGATTTGTAAAATGACTAGAACAGTGCATATGAAATGAATAGACGCTTCTCAAAAGAAAGTACAAATGGTCAATAAATGCAAGAAAAATGCTCAGCATCTCTATTAATTAGAGAAATGCAAATTAAAACAATACTAAGATTCTATCCTACTCCAGAAAGAATGGCAATCATCAAGAAATCAAATAGTATTGGGGTAGGTGAAGTGGGAGGGGTAGCAGGAAAGGAAAAAAAATGAAAAAATGGAAACAAAGTCTTTGTAAATAGGGAGGATTGGAGGGGTTGAAGGGAGGTCAGGGGTATGGGGAAAAATAACCAAGATACATCATGTAAAAGTACAAGTTCCCAGTGATGACTGTAACTATATTGTATACCTAAAATATACCAATAAATTTAATGAAAAAAATCAAATAATAAATGCTGGATAGGTTGAAGGGATAAAGAAATCCTTCTGCATTATCAGTGGGAGTGTAAAATAGTACAACCATTATGGAATTCAGTATGAGATATTTCAAAAAATTAAAATGGGAAATTTCATTTGACCTAACTATTCCCCTTCTAGGTATTTCCCCTAAAGAGTTAAAGATGTCATATGACAGTGATTCATGCATACTTTTGTTTATAAAAGCACAATTTATAATAGATGAATCTTATTACAGTGCTATACATTCACCAACGGATGATTGGATAAAGAAAGTGAGATATTTTTACACAAAGGAACATCATTCTTCCATAAAGAAAGATAAATGAGTCATCTGTAGGAAAATGGATCCACCTCTGAACCATAATGTTAGGTGGAATAAATCAGACACACAAGTTTAATTATTGCATAGTTTCTCTTGTATGAGAAACTCAATATAAATGACTAGTAAAATAAAGACAGATAATAGGTAATAGGGAGATAGCTCTTTTGCAAAAAAGAAGGGAATCAAGGGTTGGAGGATGAGGGGAGGGAAGGGAGAGCAAGGTGATGAAAATGAATTGAGATATGTTATGTTCTTGTACCAATTACCCATGAGGAATGTAATCATTATGTACTGTAAACATGTACATATAAAAATAAAAATCAAAAGAGAATAATATATCATGCAATGGCAGCAGTACAGAAATATTGGTTAATTACTATTTGGACTTTACTTCATCTGCATGTGTTTAAAAGAGGAAACTTTTCCCTCATGTCGTGGCTTTTAGCTTTCTGGGTTTTTGATTATAGGAGAGTAGAAGATTTAGTGGTTGAATATTAATGCAAATTCTGGAATTGAGTAGCAACTCTTGGAGGTGGTGACCAGTGGTCTTTGGCCACCATTTTATGTTGTATCACCTCAAACAACCAACACTGTCCCAACTAATTTCTCTGATGTGGTGGGGACAAATACATAAACGATTATGGTTGTCAACAGTCATAGTTTAGTATTTATGAAATCAATTATTTTCTCAATTTATCTATCTGATTCAATAGATCTCAATAATTCATGCATCTATAAATTACATGCAGTTATTTATGACTAACCTGTAGTTATAGTTCTGCTTGCTTTGGAAGCACATATAACTTGTAGTTCTAATTCAAATTTATTATAAAAATATCCTTTTAGAAAATTGCCAGTGTAACTCCAACACACTATGCTACTGCCTAAATTAATGTGCTATTATGATGAAAAATATTACAGCATACAAGGTTATTTAATGAAGCAATAAATCTTCTTGGAGGAAAATATGATATTTCTGTGAATGAGTTTTTCTTCAACTGATGTCATTGTCCTCTTCTGCAGGATAAATTCTAAAATTGATACAAATGACAAATATTGTCATGTTGAAAACGATAAGGTGAAAAATATAAGCTAGCTTGCCAGTAAAGTGAACAAAGTAGCTCAGACTCTATCATCTTTGGTATTTTAGAAGTCTGATGTTTTAAATGTCATGGCTCAGTAATTCATTAAACAGACATTTTCTCTGTTCCTGTGTTGTATTTAGAAATTAGGACAATTTAGAAAAAAAACAGAATCATCAAAACATCAAAATAATTTCCTTAGATACATCATATATTTCTTTTTTCCCCTTTTTTATTGGTACTTCTTTATATTTGTTTTCTTTTTTTTTTCATTTGTACTTTCTTTTTTTTTCTCATTGAGTTTGTTGGTACTTTTTAGGTATACAAAACAGTTAAATTCATCATTGGGATCTTGTAACTTTACATGACAGGTCTTGGTTCTCATATTCCCCCATGCCCCTGCTCTCCCTTCACCCCCTCCTCCCTTCCCTATTTTCAAAATCTTTATTTCTGTTTTCTCATTTTCTCAGATTTATTTCTTTTCCCTTATTACCTTTCCCCTACCCTTCCCGCTTCCCCTACACCTTTAGCCCTTTTCTTCCTATTTCACATTGTCAATTGTACTTTCTTGATGGAAACATAACAAGATAAATCAAAATTTCTGTGATGCTTGCCTATTGTCTTGTACAGATAAACAGGGTTGGAGAAAAGCACATGAACAAAGTAATCTGATTTCATTTCCTGGCTGCTACATGAGTGGACACAGGCAGTCATATTACACTTTCTTAAGCCATTCACTTTCTCACCATTCTGGGCAACACTTTCTCTCCTCTCACTTTTCTTTCAACCCTTTCTTTGCTCTTCCATTCCTACTCCCAGCTGATGGCCTGGCTTCCTACATCTCTCTATTAACCTATGGCTGCCTTGACGAAGCACCACATGCTTGTGGGTTAAAGTGAGAGGTTTATTATTTCACATTTTGGAAGGCCGTAATCAAAATTAGCAAGGCATGCTCTCCCTAGGAGAGATACATTCCTTCTGTTTCTAGCTCTGGAGGCCCTAGATATTACTTGAGTTGTGTCTGACAACTCCAATCTCCGCCTCCTTCTTCCAATTGCAATCTCCTCTGTTCCTTCAGTATTCTCACCTTTTAAATTTTTGTTGTAAATAAATATACATAATATAAAATTTACCGTTTTAACCACTTTTAAAGGTATAGTTCTCCTTTGTCAAGTACATTCACATTGTTCTGCAATTACTATAATCTATCTCTAGAGCTTTCTCATTTTTTCAAACAGAAACTATTAAATACTGAATCCTTATTCCTCCCTTCCCCCACCCTTTGGTAACTGCTGTTCTATTTCCAGATAAAACATTATGCTATAATTAATTCAATAAATTAGTTAATTTTAATTAAATGATTCATATAATTTGACCACTGTAGTGACCTCATATATGTAGAATCATATAGGACTTGTTTTATCGTGACTGGCTAACTTCACTTAACATGAGCTCTTTGCCGCATTTCACCACTGGGGAATGGTGTCAGATGAGAGATTACTCAGTCAATGCCCAGTTTAAACTCCAAATTGGCCCAGTGGGGCTGCCTTGCCAAGACCCCTCAGCATGAGAGAGTCTCAGGAAAAACCAGACCTGAACTCTAGCTTCTGTAGCTTTCTATTGATAGAACCAGGAAGCAAGGATAAGGAATGAAGGAAGGACTACTGTGCATGAATTCATGTAGGGTAAAAAGGAAGGGCGGGGAAGACCAGGATGTTCTGTTACATAATTAACCTTAGGGTCAATTTAAGTAACAAATCAGAGTATGGGGAGAAGAGGACCCAATTAATAATTCTATAAGGTAATGTGTTTTGATCTTACTTGGACTTCTGGCCCTTAGGCTATCTTTTTATTTCTAACCATGCATTCCAGGAAGTTTGGGCTTGTTGATCTGAAAGTCTTTTATCTCTTCATAGCCACATCTGGCCAATGCCCACCCCTAGGTCATCTATATTGTACTGTATGTCAAAGTTTCTTTGCTTCCTAAGGCTGAAAGATATTCTAGTGTCTCTGATACATACATACATACATATATATATATATA